CTGTAGAATCGTACGATTGTCGGCGGGTTTCTAGCCTGCTCGTTCAACTGCCGAACGGGCCAGTGTGCACAAGCGCACACTGCCCGTTCAGCATTGCGGTCATCGGAAGCCCGCCCCTCAGCGGGGCGCGCTTTCGATGATCGCAACTACGATCTGCCTATCCAAGATGGGCAGATCTTACGAGCTTTTAATTAGCTTACGACCATCGCAAGACAAAAGTCTTGCGATGGTTGTAAGGTGTATGGGCACCTTAACAGTGTGTGCACATACCCTACCCTTGCACCCCCCACGCATGTTGACTTACCCAGCCATAATCCCTTGTTCCTCCCCCACTGCAGCGTCCCCATTTGTCTATCATTCAGCATCAGCGTTGATTGGATGCCAGAGTTTAGATAGTGGTAAAATGTCATGGACTCCCTCCACATGATGGTGTTGGGGCGACATAGTGGAGGTTTCACGCTCCCTCCATACCTAGGAGCTGGCTCTTTTTGCAAGTGGTTTGCCATTGCAGAGAGTCCCATACATGATAAAGGAAGTGTCTTTTTAAAGAGCCCCTCATTGCATATCATAGTAAGCCAATGGGTTAATGCTATAACAAAACACAGTTTTTCTATCTCTGCCATACAATATCGCAGTTGTACTTTTTTCATGGAAAGGAATATCCCGTGTCTGAAAATGTCTGACGGGCTCCTGATTTTTGTATCATTTTGTCCTCCAGTTCTTGAAATGCATTTATGGGGAGTGTGCCTTCTGTGTGAATAACTTGGTATTCATTGAGATGTCAGGTGTGATGCCCTGGGCCGCACAGTCAGGACTTTAATGCATTTGTTTGTTTTGCTTCAATTTCTACTTCTGCATGTAACCTGGGGCCTGAAGGGGCCTATTGAATGCATCTGATGACTAATTGCATGCATGTCAGCAGAGAAAATCCTCTCACAGCCCTTACAGCTAATTGCTTTTCCTCCATGCTATACAAATCTATGGACACAAATGATCATGTTGGTTCTTCAGCCCTGCTCTTAGGGGGCCTGTTCACATCGAAGTGTAGTATTGATCCTTTTTTTTTTTCTTTTTGCACTACTTTTTTCCATTGCACCACCACGCATCGTATTGCGTTACCAAGTGTTCCAAGCTAATGCATGCTAGGTGCGCTTTGTGATGTGCATTAATCACACGAGTTGTGCGTATAACACTATGCTAAGATGTGAATGGGCTGCATGAGGTTTAGCCCTACCTAATGCACACTTTACGCGATCTTGGTTTAGCTTGGATGTTCTTCCATCAGCAGAAAGTGTTTGCTCGGTTTCTTTCAAGACCCCCAGATTTGGATATTCACTGCTGTAACCATTCTGCTTTTGTTGTGTCATAATGGATCCCCACATGTGTCTATTCACAGCAGAGGCAGGGTACCAGGCTCAGTGTCATGCACTTCAGTGCAGTGGCCATCATGTTCCTTGCCGTGTTGAAGAGTAGATTGTATACAGAGTCTTTTGCTGCATTTCCCTGAGGCAGGAGCATGGAAGTGGACTTTATTGTCCGGTTTCCGGAAGGGCACTTTTGTGCATCTTTTCGGCAAGTGAATGGACTTTGAACCAGAACACTTTGCAGTGGAAGAGAGCATTCTGACCTCTGTGTTCTGCTCCAGTACAACTACTCTCAGGTCTAGGAACAGAGCAGACCAGGGGAGGGCACCATTGGCATCTCTTGGCAATCGCACACCTCTACGTTTTAACTTGGACAGCCCGGCAGAATTTTGCCTTCTCAGTGTTGCAGTAAGGGCTTGCCCTCTGGAGCCTTGTATGAATGGCCGGAGAAGCTGAAACTTTAAAGTCAGGTTTACCTGGATGCAGCACAGGTCATTTCTTCCCAGATTTGTTCAGGTGCTGAAACAAATGGTATTATTTTTTAAGGTAAAGGCCAAACCGGAAGGACATTTTTATAGGAACCATCTACATCAGTGGTTCTCAACCTTTCTAGGGCCGGGACCCCTTGGTAACACTTGCCAAGTTGTGGTGACCCCCCCAACAGTAAAATTTAGGGATGACGCGGCTGCTGCAGCGGCATCTGGCGGCGTGGCGTGAGAACTGACTCCTGCCATGCTCCCGCCAGAGGGCTGAGGAGGACTGTCACCTAGCACAGCAGAAATCACACAGCGACCGCACAGCTTGAGAACCACTGGCCTACACCGTCAGAATAAAAAAACAAAAAAATTTTACTCTGCTCGATCGATCAGAGTAAACCTTTCCGGGAGAAAGTGTTTCTCTCCCGGGCACTAGGCAACCCCTGGCAAATCGCCATTCGACCCCCAACAGGGTCGCAACCCACAAGTGGAGAACCGCTGATCTACATTATCATGAGTGAGGTTGCCCTTCACTTTCTAGATATGTTATGGGCAGTCTGAGTGTAACAGTCTTCCCCGGCTCCTTACTGGAAGCTAGAGCATTCTTTTATCTTCCCGGAGTGTTCCTATAAGGGATCAACAGCTTATGTTGCAACCATTTCTTGCTGGATTTGGTAGATTATTTGGGATCAAGAAACCAGAGCCTTATTCGCTGTCGCTGCTCAGTCTACAAGGCCAATAGGTGTATCTTGGACTTTTCAGCAAAGGCATCTGTTTATCAAGTAGGCATGGCAGCTGTCTAGTGCTCTGTTAATGACGTTCTGTTGTGTGGGCACCATGGTATCGGCTCAGTGCTGGGTGATCGGCCGCTCTTTAAATAGGACAGTTGATTGGTGTGAGTGTTGAAAGACTGACTTGAGCAGAATGTCCGCTTCTACAACATTCAACCATGTTAATTGACTTTGGGTTTGCACTTAAATATGAAACATTCAGAGCATGTTGCCTTTCATATGTCCTAGTGGTATTGCTAGATAGTTAGGGGTTTGGAATGCAGCAAGACAAGAAGCTATTTTCTGTACAGGGCTATTGCCTTTATTCATGGGATTGTTGCAAATGTTAGGTTAATTCAGTTCACTAGATTGGAAGGGAATAGTGTGACAGACATTTTTTTATCTGCATAACCAGCCATTTACATTTTAGATTTTGGGCGTTTGTGGGCTTGTTCACGCTAAGAGCAGAGCAGTTTAAGAAGGCATCAAAAATGCATCCAATGTATTCCAATGGTATTTTGGCCTCTAGTTCACACCGGTGTTCAGTTCTAGTGCATGTGGAAAAACTGCAGCAGGCTCTATTTTTTTATTTTTTTGCTCTGGAACACACCAAAATGCATGCGAACGCACTGGACTACACCTGAAAAACCTATTTTAGGCTTTTAAAAAAACGGACCGGAAACATGTCAAACGCATTAAAAAAACTGCACTGAAAATGCAGAAACTCGTCTGGTTTTGGTGTGAACAAGCCCTGTATCTCTGTAGTGCAACCAAACCACAGCAGACATCTCCTACTCTGGTTTCTTAGGTGAAGAACCATTGGCCTGGTTTGCCTTCTGTTTGATAGGTTGGGGTACTGTATGTGAAAAGTTGCCATTACAACGGATGGGTCACCTATAATCTTCTGTATCTTCACACTTATTCATAATATGTCTAAAACCTGGGGAGGAATTGTTGCTCTTTTTTTATTCCTGATTTACACCACACAGTTTTGTAAGAAATGTTTCATTTTAAAATGTTTTATTTCTGAACAGAAATCATCATGGACAAGAGTGACCTGGTACAGAAGGCCAAGCTTGCAGAACAGGCCGAGCGCTATGATGACATGGCTGCCGCTATGAAAGCCGTGACCGAACAGGGAGGTGAGCTCTCCAACGAAGAGAGGAACCTGCTGTCTGTCGCCTACAAAAACGTTGTAGGTGCGCGCCGCTCCTCCTGGCGTGTGATCTCCAGCATCGAACAGAAGACCGAAGGCAATGAGAAGAAACAGCAAATGGCTCGAGAATACAGGGAAAAGATCGAGGCCGAGCTTACTGAGATCTGCACTGATGTTCTTGTAAGTTATAAAGGGCTCATGGGGTTCAATTTTCGGGTTCCAGTCATTTTTACTTATTTGGGGTCTAGGATGGTTCTGATTTACTAAGTCTAAACACTGGAAGAATAGCCTAGTATGATTAATTTTTAACAAATATTGGAAAGTAATATTGTAAAAGTCATGGGGGGTGGGGGAGGAGAAAGCACTGATGTTGAATCATTTACAGTGTATATATACAATAGATGCTGGGGATAGTTTTCAGATTGAAACAGACATGCCACTTTTTAGTTGTAGGCATCCTTTTCGGCATGGAAGAGGTTAATTGTGCACACATTTGTGGTTGCCATGGATATACTCGTGCTCTGAATCTTTTAATAGATCTTTATCTGCTATTGGTTGTGCTTTAACATTTGCTAAAACTATGGTAATCCACAGTGTTGCGACTCTCTCATCCTCAATGAAAATATAACCGTGTGGCATGTATAAATAACGCATTCTTCATCCACTCTCTATTTATAATGTGTAATATCACGCTGGGGATCTGAAGACATTTGCCAGTTATTTTGGGGGGTAGTTTATCCACACAACAGGCACAAATGAATGCAGCTCCAGGCATCGGGCAAATGCAACCATTGAGCTGCTAATGAAAAAACGGTGCAGCTATTAAAGTTATTTGGTTTAGGGACTTTGGTGGAATGCCCAATATTTGTCCAATTAGCCTCTGATGGAAGCTGGAATGTTGATACTCGTGGCAGCGTTGCAAGCTCTCCATCAGCTTTTGTTTCAAAAACAGTTGCATGGAATTGGAACAGGCCATAGCATTCTGGCATCCACAGATTTCATCTTTTCCCAGTTTTGAGCAACCACATGGTCAAAATTGTGGCAGAACCTGGAATTGATGAAACAGGGTGGCAGATTGCAGGTGAGCATTCTATTCAGTTTGATCATTTCCTATTAAAATGTGATGCAAGGCTTTCAAATGCCCCTTTTATGGCTAGCATTCGGCTATATTTTAGGGAGCAACTTTATTTACAATGGAGGATTTTGCACAATTCTCACTTTGCTAGGTTGCCCTGCAGATGCTTGTTGTACAAACCATATTGTCATGTGTTGGGGTGAAATTGCAGTAGCTGCTGAGACTGGCAGGGTTATTCACTAAAGGGTGAAGAGTTTGGAGAAGACAGGAGAAGTTAACAATCTAGGACAACAACAGAGTCCTCTTGGGCTTCAGAAGTGCAGAAGCGTGTTGACGTCACCACATGGCTGTTGAGCATGAACACAGACCGCCGAGATGGATCACAGGTCCTCACTTCTGGGGCGCGGCGAGGGACACGTACGACTTTGGTGAGAAAGAGAGGCTTAGGAGTTGGAGGGATGTAACTGGAGATAAATGCAGGGTCTAATTTGCCTGGAGATGGACTTGAGAAATCCCAATGTACAGCTGCACAGGAATATAAAGAGAAGAAGGCGTGTGAGACTTTAATTGAGCATTGAATTTTTCAATTTTTTTTTCTCATCTGCAGAGTTGAGCATTAATTATAGCTCTTGCCCTTATTATTTTCAAGGCACAAGTGGGTTATGAAAGAGCTGTTTTATATAACTCCAATAGTCTTATTAACTGGTAAGAGAGAACCATTTAGTCAAAATGAATAACTAAGCCTTGAAATCCATACAGTACACAGTACCTGCTGAGTAATGTTGCAGTATTGCACCAGACTGCTTCACTCCCTTTTATTACCAATCTGTTCTAGGAATCTCTCGCTCTGACGAGGAGCTGTTTTGTCAAACTCACCTACTGTAGGCACCTTGCTCCCTCTTATTGACCGAACCCCCATGTATCAAATTGTCAGTGGTAAGACATTTCTCACAGCCACCAATCCGTTTCAGACTTGCCTTAAAGCCCATTTCCACCTTTTGTGGAGATATTTCTAAAAAACGTATGCCAGTAATGTAAACCGAGTGTATATGAAGCAGGCATGTGCTACACAAACTTTTTTTTATTGTTACCTGTCCTCTTCATCTTCTCACGGGTCCTTTTTAAAATGGCTGTCTCTGTGCTTTGCAGACAGTGTGTAAATTACAGGCTGCTGTGCACATTGATATGAAAGTATGTCCTGTTGCACTCCTTACCGAATAAAAAGTGTACTTGTAGATCAGGCGGGTGCTTGAAGTGACCACGGATGGCACCGTGCAAATATCACAAAATCCAAGAATGTCACCAGCACACCATTTAAACATGACACAAAGCTGTGCACATTGGACACTACAGTGTAGGGCACGGAAAACTACATTTCACACAATGCTGTTTTTCCCTTTGTGCACAAGTTTCTTTGTGATAACTGAGCCCCCCCCCCCCTTTAATTAATATCCATAGTGGCAATCCCCCCTGAACGGTGCACAGTAACCTGGAAGGTAGAGCTGGTATGCTTGTTATGACGACTCGCGGGGAAGGGGTCAGCTTCTTTACAGCATGTACAAAACAATCCAACCGCAGCGTCAGATTAAGTTTCCTGCGGAGGGAATTTTGATTTTGTAGATGAAAATGTAGTAGATCCCATCGCACTCCTGACCGGACAAAGCCCAAACGAAAACTGGGGGTGCCGAAAGTGACAGCGAACGCCTCCGCACCTCAAATGCAAAATGCCATAGTCACTCACACTCGGTTAGTAAATAGCAGTCAATCTTCTTTATTGACTGAATATGATGTCACATACACAAAAAGTCCATAAAAAAAAAAAAAAGCCAGCAATGTAAGTCATGAAAATGTACATTATTTACATCATCACTGCACCTCTACATTATCACAATAAAGGCTAATCCCTTACAAATATATGAGAATGGGCTTTAAATTGCTGAACCTGACTGGGTTACCAAACGTCTTTCTGCTTTATGTATAACCAAACTGTAACAAGCTTACTGGAAAATGGGTCAACTTTTGTACCAGCACATATACCCGGATAGCATCAGCAATTCACTGACTTGATTTTTACTCATTGCCTGGAAATGTTGTTTTTTTAAATCCATCTTGGACACCTTCGTGATGTAACCCTTTCTTGTGCAGGAACTTCTGGAAAAGCATTTGATCGCTAATGCTACACCACCGGAAAGTAAGGTCTTCTACTTGAAAATGAAGGGAGATTATTATCGGTACCTTTCCGAAGTAGCAGCTGGAGAGAAGAAACAAGGTATAGTGTTATTAATACTGATAATACCGTAGAGTTCACTTGTATTTGAGGTTTTGGTAATGTGTGATTACAGGTCAGTCATTACAAAGTGATATTCTCACGATAGGAAGAATCTGAGTAGATACCTGATGGCTTCCTATCTCTGTAGGGATGCCAGCAGTGAGATATCTCTGCCATATTTGCTGGCTTTGGATACTCCCCTTCTATGGCATTATCCCTCATACTCGAATAGGACAAATGTGGAAATGGGCCTTATGCAAGCCTAGGGACTGAAAGTGGACCAATGCTTTAAATTCTAATATGCGGCTGTCTAAAAGGATTCATCAGCACAGTGTAATATGATAAAGTAATTGGTAAATGTACTTTAAGCATATCATTCTGATTGAGAACAGCCAAGCACTTACACACGTGACTGCTCCTAGGCATACACCGCCTACTGCTTCTTATTACTGGATTAGATTGAATGTGTCATAAGTGGACAGGGTCTACTACACGGGACATGTAGTTTTTTTGTACATTCAGCCCTGCTCCAGACAAGCAGAGCTAAATGTACAGTGGGAGCCGCTGCTCGTTTAATACAAGTGATCTAATTAGATTAGATATGCCGTGGTTTTCGGGGTCCCCCGTGACCGCGGCATAGGAGCTCACCATAGAGCTCCTAGAGCAGACTAAGAACGTCCGTTCTTAGCCTGCTCTGTGTGATCACAGCGCCACTTGTCTCAGCTGTGACTAACTACAGCTGTCACAGAACCCCTGCATCCTATGGTCCGGTGCGCCTTATAGAGCGCCAAATATGGTAGTTTATTTACTTTAAGGCTGAATCCTCAACCTGAAACCAGGAGATGTAGGAACTGAAGCACCACTCCAATTCAAATCGTCCAGATTTAACTTTATTGCATTAGGGTCTGGGGCACATTCAAGTAGCAACCACTTGCCGACACGCCAAACCAGCTGCTCACATGCCTGAAGTACTCTCATCACAACACAGTGCAACCTTCATACTGCAGGGATTGTACTCCACATATATGATTTCTTCTCCCTCCCCTAGCCCGAGGTCTACTATACAGGGACTGCAATTGGCTGATACCAAGTCAAACCTTAAACATATTCAAGGATGCACAAATGTGTATACATAGCTGCATATATTTATTTTTATATCTGCTTGTAGTTCAGCCTTAAACACAAGTTTGTAGAGTTTGCTTTTATTATGCTAGGGTTGCTTGAGTGCCTAAAAGGTGAAACAAGATTTCTTGACTTTCTCTGAAACCCATTGCTGAGTATGGGGTCAGGGGTCTTCCGTAATCATGAGGCTGTCACCTAATTCATCTAAAGATAGTCAGAGGGGTGACCATCATTTCATGTCTGTGGGTACCTTTTTTAATTGGCTTCCTAATTCCATAGAGTTGGGTTGCAGTGCAATGTAAGAATCGTAATGTACAGTATATGTGAATAGCTCAGGCAGTGGTGTTGGCTTACACCATGTGAAAACATAGATTGTAAGCCCTCGGGGGCAGGGCCCTCCTTTTTACCATCTTGTATTGTGATTTGTAATGTCTTCCCTATATTGCGCAAACTGTTGGCGCTATATAAATCCTATATAATAATATAACATGTTAATGTTCTTTTTTTCTTTTGCAGGTACTGTAGCTAACTCTCAACAGTCTTATCAGGAAGCTTTTGAAATTAGCAAGAGTGAGATGCAGCCAACACACCCCATTCGACTTGGATTGGCTCTGAACTTCTCAGTGTTTTACTATGAAATTCTTAACTCTCAAGAAAAAGCCTGCAGCTTAGCAAAAACGGTATGATTTTATGGTCTCCTTGGCCTCCTTTTGCCTTTGCACAGTCATTCATAATAATATATAGTCCATATTATGACAATTTACTGTAAAAGGCCAAGTTCACCTTTTGCAAAAATTTTAAGAAATGCATGATTAATAATATGTAAAAAAAATGCATTTCTTTAACCCCTTCATGTCAGTCACGAAGGGGTTAATATTTGCATTCAAGCCTGGAAAGCATTGCAACTGTGATCACTGGATCAAGGCTGCAAATCTCAGGCTTCACATTATCTCCCAGGCAGAGCTCCGTACTGAGGTACGGAGTTTCAGAAAGGAGGGATGGGGTGGAGGATTCACTCTAGGTAGATGCGATAGAGCTGTCCATGTTCCCACATCTAGCCAGATGGAAGATGGCTGGATGCCGTATGACAGGGGTAGCCAAACTCCGGCCCTCCAGCTGTGGCGGAACTACAAATCCCATGAGGCATTGCAAGATTCTCAGCCACACACGTGACTCCCGGACAGATGTATCATGGGATTCGTAGTTCCACCACAGCTGGAGGGCCAGAGTTTGGCTACCCCTGCTGTAGATGGTCAAACTGATTCAGTGGAGCTGAGCCAGCACCATAGATGTGACTATGAGGTGTGGAGTCTTCTCTTCTGAAGTGGAATGGGGAAAGCTTCAGGTTTGCAAAAGCAAATGCTTTTGCAAACCTGTGAATTACCTTCTAAATGTAATGGTGACACCATCACTGTGCTGTATGTGGCCTGTGCTGAGAGCAGAGCTGTGGGAGGGACCCATTAGGTCCAGTCACTACAAGAGGTGGAAGGGGGTTACAAGACCAGCCTCCCTGCACAAGGAAGAGAACATCATTGACTGGAACTAATACAGCACGTTCCTGCACATAAAAGGGTTTCATATTGTTTTACTGTACAGATCTAGAAGAAATGCACGCTAAGGTTTAAATAAGAATACAGATGGCTCTTTATACACTATTTGCCTATCCTGAAGTTCACCTTTTAATTAGAGAAAAAGATGGCGACTACTTTTCCATATTGATGTATTTCAGACTGGTTTTATATAGTCGTGTTTTTTTCTTTGCAGGCATTTGATGAGGCGATAGCTGAACTGGACACATTGAATGAGGAGTCTTACAAGGACAGCACTCTTATCATGCAGCTACTAAGGGACAATCTTACAGTAAGTAGTCGGTTTTACTTCTGTCATTGTAGTGACCATCTTTTATAAAGCCTGACTCCTTGAGCTCTGAGAGCTGGAAGAAAAAACGCAATGTTCTCTTCTCGTTCCTCCCTTCCTCTCTTCTCGTTCCTCCCTTCCTCTCTCCTCCTCTTATCGTTTCTCCCCCCCCTCTCTCTCTCTCTCTCTCTCGTTCCTCCCTCCATCTCTTCTCATTTTCATTTCCATTTTTCATGAAAGGAACAGACTTGGTTACAAAACCCCCACCTACCTAGCATTTCCCTGTCCCTTGACAGTGTACGGCAATAAAGGGACTCGCACAGGACTGCCAGTTGGTAGGAAGAAGTTCAATGGCAGATTTATAACTTAAACTAGTCTATGACTAGTTTCAGATAGGAGCGCAAAAGGAGTGTTGTCTAACAGAGGGAATGGCACACTTAGTATCTGCTCTGAGGCATGCTATTTACCTTGAAACATTTAGAGAAATTAAGTGCCTGTTTTTTTTGTTTTGTTTCTCAATTTACAAATATGAAACGGCTTAATGTTTATATGATCAATATTTGTGTCTGTGAAGGTTTGCCATTATCCAAGTCATGGAGCATCTAGTAGCAGTTACTCACATTCAACTAGACTTGTCCTTTTAATGTTGAAGATTTGCAGCTTATCGGAGCCATTTCTTCAGTTCTAATGAGTGTTGGGAATATACCTCAGCATTTAAATCCACGCAGTAAGCACAGTCCACATAGGACAATCAGCAGGGAATGAGTCACGGCAGATGTGGATAGTCCAAGAACGGGATGAGAAGTGTGAAAGTTGTGTAATCACCCTGTTCTAGTTACTATAATCCCATCCTTGGTGTCTTTTATACTCGGCATAGGTGTTAATCCTTCAGTTTAGATGGCTGGAGGTGTGAATGATCTATCTCTTCCCTGATGATTTGATGATGTTTAAGGCCCACGTCCCTGGTTAGGGATGTTTGTTTCAGCTTGATGTAAGAAAAATACAAGCTTTTAGTCAACACGTGAATTTGGTGGACAAAAACATCACATTTACACGGAAAGAGGAACAGAATAACATGACCCATTTCTGGACTGTAAAATGTGAAGATAGGTCACCAGCACGCCAAATGCAAAGAAAGTATTGCTTATTGCAAAAACGTCACATAGTTCAACGTTTTAGGGTGCAGGGTCCCTTCCTCAAGGTGACATAGCGACATAGCGTGGCCCTGAAATGTTGGCATTGTTGACCTATGTGACGTTTTTGCAATAAACAATACTTTCTTTGCATTTAGAGTACTGGTGACCTAACTTCTCATCTCTGAGGTTTTGTGCTGTGCCATCTGTGGTGGTTACTTCGAGCACCTATCCTGTTTGAAATGATCTCAACGCTGTATGGTGTGCAGCAGACATCTAAAACATTTATGGACTGTTGGGCGTCAAAGAGGAGGGGGCAGACTTGGACTCTGACATCTACAGGAAACTTACCCTCACAGATCTGCTTTTGAATTTCATCATTTACTCGATTTATTAACTAGGGGTAATTAGAACTCTGCAACACAGGGCTGAGATGGTTAAAACAAACAATCTAAAGACAACAAACACGGACATCTTAGGGGTGCTTTGAAAGTTTGTGGCCAGGCCAGGCAAAACACAGGACCATCGAACGAACAAGAGAATCGGAACACACAGAATAATATAGTCCTCCTGTATGCAGCTGGAGTGTCGGAAGCTATCAGAAGTATCTTTAACAAACATCACATCCCTGTGTCTTTTTAAGCCCAGCCAGGCACGGAGACGGAAGCTTTTACATCCAAAACACCAAATACCCAAACGCAAGACAAGTAACTTGTTATGGGTTATTGTAGTGAGCAATGCAAAGACCTGTCCATTGTTGAAACAAAACAAGCTCTAAACAAACGAGTGGCCCAGCATTGGAGGGCAAGTTCTACGGGTCAGGACTTTCTACAGTTTTTTTCTACATTTTAAGGTAAAGAGACATTCTTTCGTACACAGTATGGTGCACATTTCAAATGGAGAAGACCATTGGTTCAGAAGAGGCTATCTACGTCAAACTGTAACAACCATGCCTTACGGGGTGGGGGCCTTCAACACTATCTATTTTATACATGTAATGCCATTTTAACATATAGGGCTGCAACAACTAATCGATAATAAGAATCGTTGTCAACGATTCTCATTATCAATTAGTTGCTGGTGCCGCCGCTCTGCTCCACCGCCATCTCTCCTCCTCTCTGGGAGCCGCTGAATGCAGCGGTCTGTGTCCCCTTCTCTGTGGCTCGCCCGCGC